ACATATAAGCAAAAATGTAAGGGTACGTGTCAAATATTTTTGGACATAAATGCCATTGATTTTGAACTCTTTTTACATATCATGCCACTACATTGACAGTGCATTCTTCTTTTCTTTCTGTCCTTCAGCGGAATATCCTCGCCGAATATCTGGTGCGACGTGCGGGTGCAATCATGTTTGTCTTCCGTAGTGAAGTAGGCTTCCTCGCACCACGCAACAATCAACTCAATTCTTCTCATTTCCCAAGAATATGTTTGGAAAACCCTCTCCCAGCAAAAAATAATTCCCCTTTCTCTACACACAATTCTACTGTAGATCGGTCGTCATTGTTCAGATCGACCAAAATGGAGCAGGTTTGAAATCGACCTAGACGATTTAAGAGATGATTGGCGGCGAGGGTGCATATGGTGCTGATGCGTGAGCTCATTTTTAGTCATTTTCCTAAATTTATTGGTACATTTTTTTCTCTGAAATATTGTTTGTTTCGGTCTTTTCAATTTCAAATTAGGGCACCTTGTGAAAACGCTCAACTGCTTGACTTTCACTTTCGATTTTGTTAGTTTGATTGCGGAATTCTAACTTGTGCAGGAGATGAACTCTCAGTAACCATCGTTCTCTGCCTCAATCGGTCGTACATCAGAGCGTTGTCTGTGTAATAGGTTGGGTATTTGGGGTTTTTTTATTTGTTTTTTTTTTTTTTTTTGGTTTGTTGGGCTATCTTCTCTACAATTGATTAAATTATCGAGCTCATAGCGTAATATGTGTTGAATTGAATGCGCAATTTTCCCATTTTTCTGCACACGCGACATCGAAAGATAATAAGAAGAAAGACCCCTCAAGTTCATCATCTCCATCTTCACTCTCTCTCTTTCCTTCTTTCTTCTTTTTTTTTTTCCCAAAAAATTTATCCCAATCTTGCACTTTTTTCTTTCAATTGACAACGGTTGATGGATGCCTAACCCAAACTCCATACGGCTGGTAACCTGGCACCGCGAGCGGTGGGGGAAGTGGCTCTGGCGCGGGCGAGATCACGCTGTTTGGTGTCAGGTGAAGGTCGATCAGATGAGGAAGAAATGGTGCTGATGGTACGCCTCCGCCGATGACGACACGACATAGGAGTCCAACATGAATTTCAAGTGAGAGGTAAACTTTGTAAAATTTTGATTTTATTTCATATGTTTTTTTTTTTTAATGATTATAAGGTTTGTTTGATGGATTCTGTTACCTGTGTTCTTTCTGATTGTGCAAGATCCATCTTTTTGGCTATTTTCATTATGCTATCAGACAATTGATGAACAACTTAATAGTTAGTATAATGGTTTCTGAAACAGGTAATTATGGGTCATTAGTCTGCACACCTCCGATTATTCAGATTTGGATCGGAGTTTGATTGAATTTAGAGAGAGAGAGAGAGCACGGAATGTAGCGATTTACTACTGACACAACTGCACGGAGCTTGGTCCGAGTTCGACCAAATTCCTCCAATTTCTTCAAGTTGTGTCTTCACAACCTGGAAGAGCTACAGAACCTAGCCCTGAGGTACACCCACTTAATGCATAATATATAATTTCCACTTTGTGTCAATTTCTCTGCAGTGAAAATCTTCTGTTTTGTCATGTTGTTTGAACTTTGAAGCTTCACATGATTTGCACAGCTCCAAATGCAGTAAATGTAGCCTTTTTTTTATGTATGTGCTATTGGGGCCTTCACGTGTTTTTTGGGTTCTTAAAGTAGTTGAAGCTTTAACTCAACTCTTTTCCCTTCCAAATGCCTAATCTTTTACTTACAAGCAAATTTGTTCACATATTCCAAACATGTTTGTTCACATGGCAGATTATTTTGATACTTGCAGTATATATATATATATATATATTAGATATTCGTATTTTTCATATATATTTCAGGGGGAAAATGAGATTCTCGTTTCAATTACATCTACACAATTTTGGAACATAAGCTTACCCTATTATGAGGGTTTCTACTTTCAGGTTCAACAACGTGCCTTTAACCTGGTTAACTTTTTACTTTTTAAGTTGTCGGTTTGTCTGCAATTACAGGCCCATTTTGATAAGTTACCTTGAAGATGTTAGTTCTAGACAAAATCATCTACATAATTGGCTACGTCATACATCTTTATATCCAAAATTTTATCATCGTAAAGAATAAAGTATCAGTTTTAGTGTGGTAGCTTCTGTCACAAATTTATTGTTTGTTTTAAGATAATTACTTTGTAACATGTGTTGGATCTTGTGCTTTTGTGCTAAACACTGGAATATAATTTTGTTTCTCCGACGTCAACAACAACAGTCGCCAGCGCAAGAATTTGTACTCGGCGCCACCAAACTTTAGCTCCTGCTTCGCCCCACCACTTTGCTTTTCTTCGGTAGTTTCCTCACTTTGCATCTTTTGTTCCTTTTTTTTTTTGGTGTTTGTGTGTTTTCTCAATTTCAGTTACTGAAGAAAAGATTATATGCTTATTGCTCTGAATACGTAAAATGATTCTATATTATGAAGGTGTCCGGGAATGAGTCCCTCCCTTGTGACATAAGTTTGCTCTCGACGAGAGACCCCACCGAGGTGGCAGAGCTGCAGACAACCAATTTGTGTGGGGAAGGAGACCCAGATGAAAAATCCCGTGCCCATGATGACAAGAAGTACGAGGTGACAGTTAGAGAAACCATTTTTGCTTAGATATGAAGTATGTACTCTTAAACTCAACTTTTCTTTACACTAAAAGTTGTTTTTTATGAGGGTTGTGGTTAATATGGCATGCGAAAGATAAAAATGATATATATACTAATTTTTTGTCTATTTAATTGTCCTATTGAAACTTTTTGTTAATTAAGGACCAAATAAAAGAGAAAAATGGTAGATCCATTCTAATATATTACTGTCCAAAAATGGATTTTGAATAATCCAAATGCCTCAAACTACATAGTTGAAGGAGTTCATGATTTTTAGGGACAAAGCTATTTATCAAGACTATTATGGCTTGCCACAGTTTAGAAATATAATACAAATAATTATGTATCCACATATATTTATGTAAACCAGAGTCGTGCATATATCTTTGGCAAATCCAAATTCTTATAGTTTTGAACAACCCGAAAATTTCTAGGTTGCAAGGTTCATGGAGAAAGTGGGGGAAAACAGAGTCCAGTTCAAACCCGGACAGCATAGTGATGAGTGGCGGGCAACTTGGGTGACCCTGGCGATGGATTATTTGTATCAACACCTTATTGTCCAGGTTAAGTATATACCATTAATAGCATTAGTTCTACATTAATTTATCAATGGTTCTGTTTTTGGTTTGTGATTGCTTCGATGTTCATTATACTAAATTAGAAACTAGAATAATAGTAAATGTATGATGTCCACCGAGCTACATTAAAAGCTGGCTGGGGCCCTATGTTAGCTACTGTTACTCTAATATGGAATGTAATAAAACTGCCCTAGAAATCACATGTACAAAATTCATCAGAATTGCTTGATTATTTGAGTGTCATGCTTTTAATGTCTTAAAAATTATATTGTATGGGTCTTGTTAAAGCAATATTCCTTCCTCTTACACTAATATATTATTTTTAACATTCTAAACTCCCATTGTGCAGAAACGACCGTGACCTAACATGGTGGACGAGAGTAAAACTCATCCCCGTCATCTGTGGAAAGCTCCAACGATTTCAAAATCATTCGCGAAGCCCTCGAGTCCACATACCAATGGCTAAAATATCCAACATCAAAGTCAAAGACCTCCTCTTAAACAACCAGTGAAACCCCGTAGGCGTGGTCTTAAATTCACTAACCAAAAGAACGTCCACTTATTATGCAATGAGATAAACTCCGCCACCATCTTTGGCCGGCCTGATTCGTTATGCATGTTCACGCTCATCTGCCCGTTCACACGTAATGATGCGATTGTTACCAAGGTTAAGATATTTACCTACCGCTTTCTAACGCTACTTCAGGATTTAAGGTTGAACCGAATAGTTTATTTTTATATTTTGTATTTATTATATATATATATATGTATATATATTCGTTTTATTTTGGTAATAACTTTATGAGACAAGCAAATGTATGGATGAAGAAGATTTGACACATTTTAAACTGCAACATGTTTTAGGCGACAAAAAAGAAATAAAAAATAAAGGCCAAGTGTGAGGGGTTGTATACCTTACACGTGTCATTTTTTTGGATATAAATACCCCTCACTTTTAACTCTTTTTGCAGGTGTTGCCATGCCTCCTCCTTCGAAGACGTGTCTGCCATGTCCCGGGATTCTCTGGATTTGTTCGCAAGATTTTTTCGATGGGAAATCAACAAGTACGACTTCTGCTTAAAACTTTTGCCCCTTTCTTATCACCTTTTACAATTTCTCTTCATTTTTTTCCTGCTTTGTTTGCGTTCTTGCCTGCGGTGCATTTTGGTTGCTTTTCGGTTTTTTTTTTTTAGCGTAGTTCAATTTTTCGGAGAAGGTATGTGGCAGTTTTCATTTGGATAGGCTTCCTCTTGCTCTTTTGTCTGTATCTTTGCTGTGTTGACTTTTT